TTCGCCCCCCACGTTGACCGCGGATGACTTGCACGTTACTGTCAGTCGTCATTAGCGTAATTCGTTGCCTTATTGCACCTACGTAAGAAGAGGCAAGGTGCTGCAAGCCACCGGCATCGTCTATACCTCTGCACAAGCTGACCAAAAGCAGCATGAGATGTCAGGCTCAAAGTTAAACCTGGGAATATGTATCGTACTACTTCCCGTGAGGGGTCATGCACACTGGGCTTGGTACTAAGGTTAGTGGCATCGTAAAATACCATTGTGGCTTGCGAAGGTGTCGAAGTCCGATCAGAGACATGATGTCAAAGCGTAGACTTGCGCATGAACGTCTAAGCAATGCAAAACCATATCAGGATGACCAAGGTTGTGGTACATAGGAAGAGACTGCAAGGGATGAGCATGGTTCGAACTGCAAATTGAAAGACCTGGGGGAGCCCTGTGTTGCCCCGCAGTGAAAATAAGTGCCCAAAAGGACATCTGAAATGCTTGGTATACCTGCTGCATCCTTGCACTCTAATTCAACAATCTTGACTTCTGCGGCACAGTAGTGCAATTTGAGAAGTGGCAACCTGAGTTCGGCCATACTGGGCCAGTGTCGTTCTACCGCGAGCTGAGGCCTAGCGGGAAGAAGAGCGAATACGACCGCGGCGTCAGGCTGAGATGCAGGGCGCATTAAGTAAGTAGCACAGAAACGTTCCGTGAGATAGATATCGGAAATCAGTCCTGTTCCGTGCCGCTGCCAGACTTCGACGTAGAGCGACGAAGGCAAAGATTGTGCTTTGAGGAAATAAGGACTGCATGACTCGAAATGAAGCAGAAACTGCGCCAAAGCCCAGGCGACGAAGGAGGAACAAGTGGTGAGGGACCTGTATTCGCACCCTAGCCTGCGCTGTCCCGGTGCTTTTTGGTGCGGTAGAGAGATGTACACAACATTGATCTTGACATCGTTCTAGGCATCAAGCCACTTCAAGAACTCAGGCGTGAAATAGCTGACAACTATACCCGCACCAGCTCTCAGAATACCCTCGGTGCTCTCAAATGCCATAGTCTTTAGATCGAACACACCTGCCTTCGCTCCAGCATGTATCATAGCATATTCTCCCGACACCTGATATGCGGCGATCGGCATGTCCTTCGCTATTTCCTTCGCATCGGAGATGATATCGAGATAACTCGAGGCAGGCTTGACCATGATGATGTCGGCACCCTCGTCAATATCTCGTCTGATTGCCCGTCGTGCCAGACCTCGACCACCAGGAGGAAGCTGATAGCATTTTCTGTCACCAAAGCTTGGGCACGAACCCGCCGCATCACGGAATGGACCGTACAAACAACCTGAGAATTTGGCTGCGTAGGACATCAGATTAACTCGATGTGAAATTCCTTCTTCGATCAGCTTAAGCTTGATGGCTCTGATTCGACCATCATTCATGTCTGAAGGGGCCACACAATGTGCGCCTGCTCTTGCATATGACATTGCCACATCCGAGATCCGTTCCACGGACATGGCGTTGTTCATTGAGCCGTCTTCGTAAAGAATGCCGCAGTGACCATGCGAAGTATATTCGCACAGACAAACATCCACCACAACGTACAGTTGAGGAAGAGCGCGCCTAATAAGTTGAATTGCCTGCATGACCGGTCCCTCTGGATCGTCGGCTGCCGTGCCAAGGGCATCTTTCGCTCCCTGCGCAAGAGGTACGCCAAATAGAATGACACTGCGCAGACCTTGTTCAACTAGCGGTTGTAAGAACGGCACCACCCTGTTCAGCCCAAGGCGGTTCTGGTTTGGTAGAGAGGGTATTGGTGTCATTTCGTCCGGGTTATCGGTGATGAATAGAGGGTATATGAGCATTGCTTTCGTAAGCTGCCTTTCTGCTTGCCATGCTCTCGACAGTGGGTGGCTGTACCCTGCATGTAATTGCGATTTAATGTCTCCTGCTATGCTGACTGAAGTGGCTTGTGTTGATGTGTAGCTTCTGGCGAGACCAGGGCGCGATATCGTGGATCGTGAGTCGTCTGAGTTCTTTGAGTCTTTGAAGGACATATCCTTCACAAGGTTGGAGAAGGACATTTTGGTAAAGTCTCGAGGTGGTGGCGCCTCACGCCTATTGCACGATTTGGGATTATCGGTGTACTCGGACTCTTAGGTGCGGCGACGAATTTGGCGCGAGGTTGAGGTGGTCGTCCTTGCGTATGAAACTGAAAGGGCGTATGGTGTGAATGTAATTCAAGAGCACGAGGAAGGTTCGAGGCAAGCACGTTCAAAATATCTCGGAAGTGACCACGAGCCGCACTTCTGATCGGTGTGGTAAATGTCGCGAAATCGCAGCTTACTTCCGCACTCTGCTGATTGGCGCATGACGCAATGCCGGCGATAACGAATCCACTTTAGAGCACTGCATTTCGGCCCAAGCTGATTGGTGAGTCCCCTTTATGTACACGTCCTGCCAGCTAGGCCGTGCCCATGGTCTTGCATGGCTCAGGTTACACAACGTGAAATGAACAACACATCAAGCATAAGCCAAACGACATATCGACCATGAGTAGGAGCTTGAATTCACCATGTTTTACCATTCCTTCCTCTCTTGTGTCTACTCGCACGTCCACCAACTGCGACCATGACTAACTGCGAAGAGAAGGTTGCACGATGTGAGGCATTGTTGCACCATGAGTTTCAGGATAAGCTGCGCTGCCTAGAGGCTTTGCAAGCCTCCGGCCAACGCTTGCTATGGGACGGGAGACTTCTAAAGGTTCGAAAGAATGAGTACCTGGCTGTCTTAGGAGATGCAATCATGAAAGCACATCTTTGTAAGAGGTGGTATCCGACAGGCCGAAGCAAAGGTTAGCCAACCATCTGAGTATATCGCAGCAGGCTGACTAGCTTCTAGGTGAATGGGATGACGCTACTAGTAAAGGGATCATCACCAATCCCCACCTATCGAGGGTTGGAATAGGTATAGGCCTTGAGTCTTGTGTCATCCTCAATGATGGGACAGTGAATGTATCTGAAAGAACCATGGCGAATACTGTTGAAGCATTGATTGGGGCAGTTTTCTGTGACGGCGGTGAGGCGGCCTTGGAAAGGCTTCTGGAGACCCTGGAGCTTGACCACGAGTATTTGCACCCGGTGAGTCTGATCTCCTCTTTTTATTCTATAAGACGTGGGGCCAATGAACGACGACCATAATCGTAAGGGTTTATCGACGTACCTAGATAATTCGGCGGAAGAACTTGTCGTGGTCCCACTCGCGCTGGCACCGCCTTCCATGGAAGAGGCGATTGCCTACGAAAGCAAGTGTCGAGCAGCACTGGAGATTGCACGCCGTGCTGGAAACTTCAGTCCACTAAACATCGTCATGCTGCTTATGGTGCTTCACGTACACCGACCCTCGACTCTGCACACAGGAGGCAAGACGCCAAGTATTGGAGACCTGCAGCATCGAGTTCAGATCGCAGATTCCAGAAGTTCGTTTGCTGACTGTTATAGCAGGCATAAACACTGTAACCGACCACGAAAGGGTGTTCCGGATCGGCTCTGAAAGGGACTCTGGGTTCCTCTACGATGGCGAACCTCAGTACTTCGATCAAGTGCTGCGAACGTCTCCATTGTCTTGATTTTAAGGGTACGTTACTTGACGAGGGAACTGAGATTCGCCATCGCGGAGGAACCCAGAGATCCTTTCCGGACTGATCCAGAATGTCCTTTCATCCAATGGTCGTCATTCGCTATTCATATGCGCTTGAGCGGGTGCTGAACCAACTTGGATACTCGATCGAAGTCGCAGCCTTCCACAGAGACCACCAAGCTAGCACAAACGCGGTCGCGTATGAATAAGGGATATGGGACGCATCAATGACGAGGAGGGAAATACTTGGAACGGGTGTTATGGAGTTGATTTCCAGAGGGTGTCGGCATTTCACAAGTCGATTTCTTCGAGGCTTGGACGAGAAGGGACCACCGGCTGCTTTCAACGAGTAGCAGTGAGGAGAACCTGACTGTTCAACAAGTCAGCGGTCCTCAGGGGATTTGGGCAAAGTTACATCCAACATGCAACAGCGATCGACCGTAGTACACTCCTTACCATCAATATCACATCGATTTGAGCATTGAAGAACGGTACATTTCATTGGTTCGTGCATTGCATCCATTGTGTAGCTCGGTTATGCTCAGTGCCAGTGTACGGTCAAGATCCAAGACTAGACTCTTTGGCTGGTCGTCGGGTTGAGATCGTCTGCCCCACTCTGTTGTTGAGCCGCCCACTGAATCCGTACAGACTTATGGGGGACGCACCGTGGAGTGGTGGTACTGTGTCATTGTTGGAAGCTTATGACTTGATGATAGATCGGATCCGTACTGCTTGTCAACCAACAAGATGGATCGCCCTGGCGGCGATGGCCAGTGAACAGGGTCGTGATGTGGCGAGCGTTCGTAATCAAGGTCTCCTCACAGCTAGGTGACCGGTCGCTTTGATAGAGAAGGTTTGCCGAAGTGCTCCAGCTACGCCCCTTGCGTAGGGCTCAGCTTCAGCACAGCATCACGACAATGAAGGATGTGATGCATCCATCTTGAGCATTTGTAGCCTGTGCAGACTGGTTCGTGAGTGTGAAACCGAAGGATCGTCGACGATGGTTCCATCGATCTTCAGCATGGCTATGTGGTACATATGTGAAACGGAAAAAGGGGGACGACGAGCAGAGCCACCCAAGCGAGAACGAGAGGTCGGCGACGCTTCCTTGAGCTTGGCCCGATCACATGCTGAACATGTTGTGATTCTGCTTGCCAAGACTTTCTCGCCCCTCGCACAAACCTTCACTATCCCGGCGGATTTCTCCTCTTCATGATCCGACACGCTTGTCCGATCAGAGTTGCGCCACGAGTCTCATGCCGTGGCAACACGAACCAATATAATGTCATGAAACGCAATTTTCGCCACAAATCAGCACAGACACTGTATGTTATCACATCACACTTGATGTATAGCAAACGCTAATATGTCTCAGATGGCCGAGTGGTTGTAAGTTTACCTACCTTCCAGGCTTCCAGCCCCCTCTCTAACAAATTCGATAGAAGGCGTGTGACTAGAAATCACATGGGTTCGCCCGCACAGGTTCAAGTCCTGTTGGTGTCGACATTCAGTTTTGCAGTTTTCGTGGACTTGGGCTCATTTTCGCGATTCGTCCGAGCAAAACCGCTTTTTGCGCTCCGGATGACTGCAAAGCCAACTCGGTTTTGGTCGAATCCGAGCCCGGTGTAAGCTTTTGTGTGGATCAGGATCGCAAGGGTAGCTGGGGGCCAGAGAGAGCCTGGGGGGTACCACGCTATACCACTTCGGGACGAACCATGGTCGTGCTCGGAGCTTGCTGTGCCAGGTTTGATTCAGAGGTGTTGTTTGAGCGCTTGTCCTTCTGTAAATGTTCATTCATTCGAGGCGAAAGGCTTTTGCACTTCACCCTAAATCGAGCTTGTCAATTCGAAAACACCCCCAGGAGGCCGCGATCTCGCCGCCCAATGTGAAGCTGCCACTATTATGGTCGGCAGTCGGTGGTACCCTTTTCGAGATTTGGCACTCTGACGATGTATCTCGGAGCTTTACGGCTCTTTTGATTATCGCACAATCTTGGACTCGAAGAGGTCGGCCATGACTGCAATCGTGCTGAGATTGCCTGGTACGGTAACGGCGACCCTGATGTTGTCACTGTCGGCTGCTGAGCCCAGGTCTATCTGACAGAAACTAATTTGCTAACAAGAGTTGCTTTGTTGGCTTGTGGTGGCCAAACTTTGCAAGTCTCCATTCTTGACCAGACCTGTCAGCATTAGACTCACCTTCCAGGTAGGTCACCACAGGGGAGGTCAGTTTTGAATGCACGCTCCTACGGCATGAAGTCGGCAGGTTCTCACTCCGGTGAAAAGGGTAGACATGCTCAAACGGCTGTTGACCGGAACCATACAGCACACCACGCTATGCACAAGAAAGGCTGTGATTCTTCACGCTTCCAGTGCTTCACGGAAGCGTAGATGTGCAGGGACGCCATAAGGTACGGGTGCTCAATGCTGAAGGTATTTGTGAAATCTTCGAAAATTGGCGAAGATCTATGCTGCCCTTTGGCTTTTGGCACAGGCGATAGCCGAACAGGACACGAGGTTGGCGACGGCAGAGGCAATTGCTAGGTGTGGGTAGATACTACTGCCAGTATTACTGAATCCGAGAATATGGATGAACAATTTTTCAACACGCGACGCGCATGACCGAGACCAATGTGAAGACGCGGAAACCTCACTTTGAGCTCATCATGTGCTTACAGACTATGAACGATTCAACCACGACCATCAATGTACCAACCACGATGTTGCTAAGCATTTTGATCACTCTTTGAACAGCTACGCCCAGTAGCCCAAATTACTTACTGACTAATGCTGTGCTAGCTGCTGCCCACATGTAGATGTTGAGCCAAGCACGAGTAACTAAATCCTTAGAGATCATCCTTTATGGCCAGATTGAACTTCCAGACATCAAGAGGTCTGCTCGACATATCCCCCGATAGAGTGTTGTCGACCGTACATTCTCTTCTCTGCCAATCAATCCAAGCAACAGGATGAACAGACACCTGCAACTGAGGACTCATGGTCGACGGCTCACAGGTTAGCACGAAGCATTTATAGTATGGGACATGCGAATATCCACTTGGGATTGTGAATGGCCATGCCTCCACACGCAACAAATATTCACTCAATTCGAAGGCTTTGCCAAAATGTGGTTAATCGCATGATTTCCGTGACCAGCACCAATCAGGGTACGACCATGGCTAACCAGTTGCTTTCACTGCTTCATGTCAGATTCAGTTCATACCCCTTGGTTCGGACCGCTTCCACCTCTCCATTTCCGCTCCATGATCAGTATAGCAACAATCGCTTCTGATACTTTAGATGTCGTGTTCCCCACGCTACCAAGCATCTTCCTCCCACTGGCCCTGCACCACCCGGCCCATCCTGATGCGCTCCGTTGATAGTTGCGTTCGCCGAAGCGAGGTGTTCTGCAGCCGATGTTGCTTTACTTGAAGGACACCGCGAGCGGTAGTCATAGGAAAAGCTGTGGCCGAACTGTAGTTCGAGGATATAGATATCTGGTGTAAATGTGCTTTGGCCTTTCCAGTCGTCGTTCGTCATGCCTGACATGCTGCTTGGCGAAGGAGGCTCGCTTGCCATATGTCCAGGTGATCGACGACTATCTGGGTGCTGAATGGCTCAGTGAAGCGGTGGCGTTGTTCGTTCGCAAGCCAGGTCTTTTGGTATCGGTCCACAGCTGATTTGTGCTGCAATAGTTCCGCCAGCGGAAGTTGTTATGCCGTAGATGATTTGTGCTGAGAGCTGTGGAAAGCAAGCCCATCTTTGCTTCTTTATGGGCGCTCGTGGTGGTAATCTTCACTGTCGACATGAGACCACGCAGAAACAATCACGAAACATCTTCCTTTGTCCATTTCCAAGGAAGAATACTCAGCTCGAGACCGGGCAGTGAAAGAGCTTTCTGGTGGCTTCAAGAACGGCAGGATCGTCGAGACCACTGCGCCCATCCTCGGATGCTCGATTGAGCTCGTGGAGGCTGAAACATATCAGCGCATCTGCAGACTGCGTTCCTAGCTAGTCATTGTCTCGTCATCCACAGATCGATCGTTGTCACAATCTGCCAGATTGGATGATTCGAAATCCGTGGAGGTGCGTAGGCAAACAACAGCCCGTGCTTTTACTGTGTCTGAGTTGTCCTTTGCCCAGCGCTCTTTGTCTGAATGCCCTCGAAATGACAAGCCTGCTCGTCAAACTGGATCAGACATAACCATAAGCCATGCCACTCTAGCCGTCGCGCTTCACTCAACCGGCTTCTCCTGTCTCTTGAACTTGTCCCAGGCAGCTCCAACCTTCTTGTGGTCCTCAAGACCAAATTCAACTGGCGTCCTCGGCACACCTTGCTCTTCACTTGGCAACTGCCCCGGAGGATTGGCCTTGTTGGCACCAGTATGATCCGACTCCTTCTTCTGCTCAGGACGAGAATCTCGGAAGAGCTCATAATTTCTGGTGCCTTCAATCTGCTCAAGCACGCCATGTCGTCGCAAGCTTTCTTTTCTCATGTCTACTTGACCACCATCTGCTTCGCGATGTAGCTGAGCATTGCGTTTTGCAGCCCTTATCGAACTGACCGAATATGCGTAGAGGATGACCGCCATGCACGCTGCTGCTATCGGTGCTGTTGCTTTCTGTTCTGGTTAAACATGGATGAGCAGATTCAGTTGGTACTCACTCGTGGATTGAAAGCACCACCCGCGTGTCGCGGTACTTTGGACGGCGAGTTCTTAGCAGACATGATGGGCAGCGTCTACTTTCCTTCGAGACCTCGACAATTGTGCTTCTGAATCTGAAGTCAAGCTGGAATATTTACTTGATGTTGGCTGTCCGGGCAAGAGCGATCATTGGTTGACATCTAGCTGCACCTGCATATTTTAGCGGCAGATCAGACCACCTGGCTGCCGTACCCGACTGAAGCTTGTTTTATCTGTTCTTCAACTCTCCCTGAAGGCTCACCTTTTCAAAAATCTGCTCAGATGGCCATGATTTGGTACCACCAGTGTCTCTCATAGCATGGGAAAGAACATGCTCAGTCTCGTCGTCGGAGATGTCTATAGTACCAGATATGGTGCTGGTGGCCTTCCGTCGCAAGGAAGCGCCACGTGCTGTTCTATCACAGCGTGACGAACTGTCTCTTTGTCGAAGACTCTCAAGGCGCTCAGCTGACGTTCTGTGATATCAACTGTAACGAAGCCCCTGTCGTTCACTGTACGTGAATCAAAGCTCTCGCTGAGCACGGCCACTATGAACACACGTCGATTGTGAGTGTTTTGAGAAAATCTCTTTGCTAACGCTGTTCACGTCCTCATAATGTGAGAAGTGCAGGTCCTCAACACTCAGCGCCAGGGTCGTGACTATGGGCTTGATATCTATTGCTGCCTGTCTCTTGCTGGTAGCAGTCCCTACAGGTCCTCAGCACTAGAGACACCGAACAAGTACTGGCCACCCCAACCATGAGTGGAAACATGACTCCCTCGGAGGACCTGTCAAATGCTGAGGGTATATAGACTGCCCTGCTCTTTCTACATTCTCATGATTTTTCTGATCTTCTTCATACAGCACTGAACAGTATAGCTACTTTGGTGTACAGGAGTCCTTTCTACGTCTTGCTGCACAATACACCTGCTAGATACCTTTCCCTCAACTACAAACTTTCAAGTCTTCCTTACTCAATCTTTCAACATGCCTCAAGATTTCCTCGAGAAGTACTGGGCTTGCAGCTCACCAGAGCTGAGTCTGATTCGCCCCGTGGTGCTGAAGGCCCGACACCGAGCCCAGATGAACGAATATGACAGCGAATGTCACATCTGCCACGAGGAACTCGACAAGGACGCCATTCAATTCCGGTGCTGCGGCGCTCTGTTCCACCGGAAGTGCATCAAGTCCCATGCCGAGACGCTATGCGAGAACTGGGACGTCGACGAGCTCCAGTTCTGTTGCCTCCACTGCAGAAGGATGCTGGACGCTCATCCTGAGGATATCCTGCTTCAAATCGGCGACACGTACTCGATTGTGAAGGAACGTGTCCGTGTACTCCCGGTTGTGGAAGAGTGCATCGACGAGCTGAGCAGAGTGAATCTCGAAGCTCGTCTAGCATATCTTGAGTTTCTCGATAGAATCAGCGGCACAGGACGTGCGCATAGTGGCAACTGCAGATACACACTGTGCGCGAACACGGCCATTAGAAAGTGCAAAGATGATGGCGAGAAAGAGGTCATGGAGCGACTGATCGGGGAGCGGACCAAGTTTCAGGTCCCCATCCTGGATAACTGGCTGGAGTGGTTAAAGTATCCCACTGATCTTCGCTTCTGGCATGACTGGCACAACGTACCGACTCGGTACGGTAACGGCCCCGATCGCTTCGAGCCAGAGATACCGGATCGAATGCTGATTGTTCAGCCTGAGGCTACAGCTGAGCCGGAAGTGAGCGATATCGAAGAAATATGTGAGACTCCAATGGGACAGAATTCAGCAGCAACTGCACTGGCGAACAACCACGATCATCCTACACTGCTT